GGGGGGGGGGGGGGGGGGGGGGGGGGGGAGGGCAGGCCGGTCGACGCGGTAGCGACGGCGCTGGTCTTCTTCCACAAGTTCTTCATGCTGCACTCTTTCCAGAAACACGAGCGCTTCTTCGTGGGATCGGCGTGTCTCTTCCTGGCCGCCAAGGTGGAGGTGAGTTCGTTCCGCTGGTGTTGGAGCTGCTGTTGGTGGTGGCGGTGGCGGCGATGTTGATGATGTTGTCGTTGTTCGACTTGCTGCCAAGTGTTGTTGTTGGTGGTGGCGGTCGTATTGTTGTTGCCGCCTTGCACATGGCGAATCAACTCCCACCTCGCAGCCGATATGTACACCTCAACAACGTCCGTTCCGGTCCTCATGACGGGGAGACGGTTTTGCCGTGGCCACAGCAGTCCATCAGCCCAAGCATTGTGCAAACGGGGCAACTCTTCGGGATTTTTTTTCCCCATGATAGCCACTCACCCTGCTCAGCACGTGGCGCGTCTCCTGCTGTTTGGGCACGTACGGTCGAGCACGCGCACACAGCCAATTTTCTTGGTCGTGAACCACACGGCTGTTGACGTGACGTGGAGCTTGATTCTCACATCTGCCCGTTGCACCGCTCCGCCTTGTGTTCCCCTACAGCGAGAATTTGTTTCTCTCCCCACTGCTGTGGGCGTTTCTGATTGGCGGCTTTGTTTTCTATGTGTGGTGCGCTTTGTCTGGTTTGCAGGAGAGCTCGAAACGAGTGGAGCAGGTGATGAGCAAGAGCTGGAAAGTCTGGAATGGCGGCAGAGACCCCCCCTCCGAAAACGAGAAGTCCTTCAAGAGACTGAGGGAGAAGGTGCGCCCTTCTCTCTCTTCTCTCTCTCTGTCTGTCCTTCTTTTTTTGTACTATTTCGTTTCTTGGTCTCGTTATCTGCGACTTGTATTTGATTCCTGTTAACAACATAGACTATATCACCGCCCGCTTTTCGTCTCAAGATTTAGCTTCTTGTTCGAGAGCTGTTGATGGCGTTTCGTAGATTGATGCTGCAGGACCACATGCACAAGTACCCATCCCGTCCTGCGGCTGCGGAATTGATGCTGGTCGCGATTTTTGAGCTACCGCTGCGCAATCTTTGGCCGATCCTGCAGTGACCAGCGTGTTGATGCCAACGGTCCGGACGCACCCGAGGGGGCACGTACTTTAGGTCGTAGCGTGATGGGGTATCTCGTTCTTTTCTCGAGGGTGTCTATCAACGCAGGGAAAAACACACGAACAGCGAAGCTTGATGGGAGAGCCCTTAGGTTTTTGCCCGCATGCCAAACGAAGCGCGTTGGTTTTGTCCCGGCCATGGTGTGCCTATTCACTCCCGCTTTTTCGCCCGCCCATCCGCCCCCGCCCCCCTACGCGCGCAGATTCTTATCGCGGAACGCTGCGTTCTCCACACGCTCGGCTTTCAACTCACCGTGGAGCACCCGTACTCGGTGGTCATGTCTCTGCTGAAGAAGCTCTTTACGATGGGCAAGGGCGCCGACGGGGGGAAAGGGGCCGACAAGGCTCTCAACCGACAGCTCAGCCAGGTAGTACGTGCGGTAGAAACGGGGGGGAACTTGCTCAAGTTTCGGTACACGAAACGCCTTCGCCTCTTCGCGTTGAAGCGTGGGTGTGCGGGACGCTTTGGCGGGTAGGAAAAACTCGTGTCACATTCTAAAGCCCATGCATTGGTAGGTCCATCAGTATGGCTTTGTGTACACCACATACTCGATCCTATGCTATAAAACATGCCGATAGATCCCCCCCGCAGATTTGCTCTCAGCCCAGTTTGGGGCAGGACATCTGAAATCCCGCTGCACGGGCCCCTTTCCAAGGGGTTGTACGGGGGGGCGCAGTTGTGAGGCACCGCGACATCGGGGCCAGTTTCCACCCCGATTTGTCCTTCTGGTGTTAGATGGCGGTACCGAGCATGGCCCCCCTGCATAGACCGTGCGGGGATGCTTGTTCTCAAGACGTGTCGTTGGGCGTTTGGTGCCCTCCGTGCCGTGATGTACTGGAGCTTGTCGCGCCTACCCCAAGCGGTATTATACTCAAAACGCGTGACCTGCTTCTGGGACGTATCCGTCACGTGTGCTACTGCTCTCGCACACTTGACTTTCGAGGTGGGGCATGCGTCCAGAACACGAAGGCCCTGTTCCACTGTCTCCTACGCCCCCCTCCTCTACCCCCCTCCCATCTTCGGAAGTCCATTTTCAATATTTGTTTGTGGCGGGTCATTTTCTTTGTTGTGGCGCTTGAGTGTGCCGTTTATTATGTTCCCCCGCGTCACCGGTGCAGGCGGCAACCAGCTTCGTGAACGACAGCCTGCTGACCACGCTGTGCCTTCAGTACCGGCCGAAGCAGGTGGCAGCGGCGGTTGTCTACCTGTCGTACTTGTACATGGGCCTGCCCCGGGTAGATACGACGCTCCTGGAGGCTGACGTCACGGTGGTCGCAAGTGAGAAAACAATCAATCCGTCGTCCCATGTCTCGGTCCCTCTCTCTCTCTCTCTCTCTCTCTCTCTCTCTCTCTCTCTCTCTGTGTGTGTGTGTGTGTATGTTTGTCCATCTGGCGGCAGCAAGAAAAAACAGTGGAGGCCCAACGTCCTCAGCCGCATGACGTTGTGGATGCGTTCTCAAATCAGACGGTGGTATTCAAGCCGGCAGGATTCTTGGGAAACCCTCCCCGCCCACGCCCTCGCCAGCACGCAACTTGTAGCGTAGGCATTTGCACGGCGCGTACATCTGTATCACATACGGAAAGCTGGCAACAGCCGCAAATAGTGTGACCAGTTTCGTCTGGAACACACTTCGCCTTACCCGGAGCTCGTCGTGCCCCACTGCTCCCCGTTTCTACAATATATTTACCTCATTCAAACCCGACACAATATGCAGGCAGTTGCGCCATCATCCTGTCCCTCTCCCCTTTTCTACACTTTGTATGACCTCTTTCAAACCCGAAAGAATATGCAGACATTTGCGACATCATTCTGTCCAAATCCCCCTTTTTGCACTATGACCTCTTTGAAACCAATATGCAGGCGTTTGCGACATCATTCTGTCCCTCTCCCCCTATCTACGCTGTGACCTCTTTCAAACCAACTTGCAGACATTTGCGACATCATCCTGTCCCTCTACGACGAACGCGGCGCCGGGCACGCCACGGTCGTCGTCACCGATCTTCGCGACAAGCTCAAGCAGCGGATTATGAAGAACACCACGGCCGCCGCCGGCTCTGACGCCGCCGGCTCCGGCTCCACGGCCGTCAGCCCTCCGCCCGCGAGCGCAACGATTACAACGGCTTCACCGCGACCGACGCCGTCTTCACCTCGGCCAACGACGTCCTCCTCATCTTCCAGGGCCACGCGAGATCACGCGTCGTCGCCGTCGTTACCGCTTGGCAGCAACAACAGCAGCAGTAGCAACAACATCGCGGCCAGTCTGGTTGACGGTGGCGGTGTGGACAAAAGGGGCAGCAGTGGTGTCGGGGGAGGGAGTGGTAGCAGCGATGGTGGGCAAGGGAGGGGGGTAGCAGGTCGGGCTGTAGAGGACAGCAGGCGACATCATCACACCCACAATCGCCGGGACCCCCGGAACTCGCCGTCGAAAGCAGTGGTAAACCCTTCCGCGAAGAGGAAGAGTGGGGATGGCGACGCGGATTTGGGAGACGCGGGGAGGAGCGGAAGCGCGGCGGGGGCGGGGGCGGGGGCGGGGGCGGGGGCGGTTGATTTCAAGCGACGAAAGTCGTCGGCGTCGTCATTTACGTAGCGGGTGTGCAGCGTTTTAAGAAAGCCTGAAGGGGAGGTATGCCTGTTGCCGCACCCGCGTGTGCAGACCTCAACTTCATGCCTCCGACAGTCACGCCCATGGCACGGAAGCAACAAGAACCACGACATATGTTTATTTCGGGAGCATTGTCCGTGTCTTCGCGAGAATCATCTCTTCGCGAGAATCACCGAGCAGCTTTCTTGTGGTCCTGGTGGTGTACAGTTGGGGTAGAGAGACGTTGAGGGTTCGACTGAGAATGTGTACAGGTTGGTAGAGCATAGCGTTTTGGTGTGTGAATTTCACGGGTGTTGTAACAAAGTTCCGAAGCAAAATTCCCGGGATTGTGAGCAGTTCGGGAGGCATGGCTAGGCAGAATCCTTGATCGAGCAGTCGTTTCTACATGGGAAGGCAGACAGGAAAAAATGTGTCGCAACACTCGTGAACTGCTGTTTGACGGTGTACAGTGTGCTCTGTGTTCACTCACGACGTCGTTGTTGTTTTGGGACGATCCTGCCGCCCTTGGTAGTCAATCAATGTAAATGTACCATGATTCGTGTCATCCGAAAGTGCGGATGCTGTACATGCAAGCCCGGCAGACAATAACCCTGTCGTGCTGCTTTATCAAGTGTATGTTGTGATCAAGATACGCACACAGCGAGGTCCCTGAAAAGCGCCGGTGTACGCCCTGAAATTCACCGGCACTATACCGGACCGACACTGTTCAAACTATTGCGAATGGCTTGGACATTCCGTGTGTGCCCGCCGAAAACATCGGCACTATTCCGGGCGCCGGCACTATTCAACCGGCACTAGACAGGGACCTCTACCGTGCACATAATTGTTTTTTTAGAGGCGCCGGTCCTGTGGCACGACGCCCTACATAGAGGGCCCCAGGAGGATCAGAATGTTCCCCAGGTGTGTTACCGCCCACGTCGATGTGTCAAGAGAAGCCACAACAATCAATCTTTTGTCGATTGGAAAATTCTGAAATTTGCCAACAGAACATGCATGAACAAGGGTCTTTCCGTGCGGGTGCGGTTGAGCACTTACTATATTGCGAGCATGTAATGTTTAATGTTATGAAGAATGTTCGCCAGTCGTCTGACCGAGAGGAGGGTTACAGTTGTTGCGGATGCGAACAGCAAGCTGAAGTGGGTGAAAGTTCCCTATCCATGCCTGTCCGTCGCACAAGTAGTACTTTTTTCGCTGTCCCTCATACTATATGAAGTATAGACTATATCTCGTTTGCAAGCGAGGAGAATGAAACCGAGCAACCCATTACACCAGCGGCATCATTGTAAACTGGATACCTGCAGACACCATGAATAAATCATTATCCTTCGACGGCTTCGCCTTGTTGCAGATAACACATGCGACTGGTCACCCGCCCCGGGAAAGCCTCACGGGCAAGAGGGGAGAGATGAACATACCCCCTGGTTCGGCGAGAGGCCGATATATGAAAGACACAAACACACCGCGACCCCCCCCAAAAATGGTTCTTGAAGCGAATCCAACTTTCTGTGAGCCATTCAATCTTCCTGCGAAGTACGATTTCCTTCTGTATGTCTGCAGACTATACATACATCTCGGTCGCTGTTTCTCCCTTTCCTCCTTGGACAACCACGGGAAAGCCATGGACAATCCGCCTAAGAGGCGCTGCGTCGTGGCCATCGAACCAAGCAAACGGCGTTGGATTGTGCCGATCAAGGACGACTCCACGGTGGCTGGCTTGGGCAGGCAAGCAACTCCTGTTGGAAGCTGTTGTAGACTACTTGCAGTCTGGTGTTTTTCGGGATATCACACCAAGGAGCACGGCATCCCGAGCTAGCTCCAGGTGTTGTTGTAGGTGTGCCTTACGGCGTGGTGCGAGGAAGTGGGAATCGGCCGGTTCTACCTGCGACCACTCGTTGGTGAGTGAGTGGCGACGCCCCTCCAACGCATCAACAACGGAGACCGAACAATCAGCAACACAGCATTTCTCGCATATTTTGTTTACTTGACGTCGTCGTCTCGGGAAGCGGTTTTTATGTGCGAGCGATGACTACTGTAGCACATGCAATATCATCGTGCACGTTCACGGTGTGTGTATCAGCTGTCTTACCCAAGGTGATCGTTGTTTTTCGCCATCGATTGTAGAGTGTTGCTGTGCGTTCCACATTATCCATCCTAGGCGTAGACTATGCACATCATCATTCACTTGTTCGTTAAAAAGTAACCTGTCTCCACAGGGAGGTCCAGCAACGCGAGACCGGACGTCGCACGACTACGGACGAGCCGGATGTCTTCGACATGGGTGAGATCAACTCGTCATGGCGACAACTGTGTGCTGGTCTACGTAGTGATGTAACACCTACAGTCTTGATACTCTAGCGATATGTTTGTTGGTGTTTGTCTACATTTGTGACCTGTTGAAGAATCCCCTAGACTACAGAACCACCAACACCACCTGCTGAAGGGTCATGTCTCGCGCGGAGATTGCCAAGATTTTCTGGAATCAAACTTCCCCCCCTCCATCTACCGTTGTTTCGTCGTGATGCCCGTCCAGCTGGGGACTGCCGCAGAAATCCTGGAGCTCAAATTGGACGGTGTTCCTCACAGTATCTGCCTGCCGTAGCGACAGGATTTCGGAGTTGATTCCAGTCCACATGCGACACCAGGCGAGCCCACTTAATTGGGGGGGCAACCCCGAAATTGAACGCTTGATGCTGTGCGTGTGCTTGTGTTTTTCGTTCCATCTATTGTGCGTGCCAGTCTGCACCTTTCGAAAAAATGTCTGTCTGATACTCACCCCCCCCCGGGTCAAACAATAGCCTGGAAGGCGAAGCGGGAAAACAAAACAAGAAGAGCGGTGGACAACCCACGGACTGGAGTGGGTCAAGGTTGTAGGTGACGTATGGAAGGGTTAGAAATTGACGAAGACGATACGCTGGAAACTTAGGGTCTACAAGGGTCCAAGGAAAGATATCCGTTGCTTTTGCCGAGAGAGAACAGAAAATAAGTAAAGAAACCACGGATAAGGAGGGAATAGGAGTGTGCGGAATGTTGAAAGAAGGAGTAGGGTTTACAGGAGTACCTACTACATGGACCAATGGATGCTGGGACAAGGCTGAAGGTCAAACTCAGGACCGGGGAAATTGGCCTTCTCGAGAGTGCAGCTGAAGACTTCGGAAGGTAGACGATGAAGACGCCAAGTTTAGAGGGAAGTGTACATGACTGAGCTGAGAAAGTAAAGTAGAGCACAGGGAGAAGTCTGAGACATGGGATAGCCAGGAGAAGACGCTACCTGTACTGGGGCATAGGAAGTGGGTTGAAAAAGGCGGGAAGTGGCGTCGATCGATAGAAGTGATATCCGTAGAAATAGAAAGACGACGGAAGACATTTTTGAGCCACCTTTGGCAAAGTAGAAAGGAACGATTGGCCATCGGTGATCGGTCCTGTGGGAACAATGCTCAGTCCTCTCGAGGGCTCGTGGTCATTGGTCTAACTGCTAAGGCATGCAAAACATAAGTACGCTCCCCCCCTTTCCCCCCGGGGTCAAACAGGAGGAAGGTGTAGAATATTCAACGTTGGGTTTTATGTTGTCCAAGTTTCCCCCTCGCGCCGCTTGCCTTCGATATGTTTTTGTTACGCTACAAGGTTTCAGCATTCCCTTCCCTTCTATTGAAATACGTGTTTACATTGAATATTTATTCTCGCAACACACAAAACAAATATAATGACAGCAAAACAGGAACGAGACTTGGGGAAAAGCAAGAGTTCCTTACGTGCGGTTGTCACGCGTGGATTGCGAAGTTTTCGTTCAAGTTCGAATCCGTAACGTAGAAATTGAGTCAGTAGGTTACGAGGTACCAAATGAACCACCGGGGCGACCGGTTACCATGATGAAAAAAATCTGTCTGGTATCAAAGCACACGAACAAGCGCCCATGGCTAAAACGATATATTTCGCGGCACACTGTAGATCAATATCCGGGCTTCTTGCGCTCTATCGTAGGGAAGACAACTACTATTCATTACCAATACTGCTTCCTCGAACTCAAAGACAGTAGACCTTGGGTTGGCAGCAAGAACTTACTCACCGATCGCAACACTCCAAACAAATATCCCTTCACATTTCTTGGTGGCGATATGAAAGCGGCGTACGTATTGTTTACGCTTGCTTGCGAATGATGTTGTGCATCGAGGAATGTTCACAACACCAACAGGGGCGGAGATGATACACATGGTCTGCAAACCTTCAGGCCGTCACATGTATACTTCGCGACTCATAGACATGTCGCAACGCCCGACCGACGACCCTCTCGTTTCCTTCCATTTCTTCTGACAGGATGCCGTGTTTGTGGCCACCTGTTTTCTGGTGTGGAAGGGCGAGAAAGAGGGCGCTTGGAAGGCTAACAAAGAGGTAACAAGTGAGCGGTCAAAACACTCTATGTAGAAGGGGTCGGCAAGAGTGGTGGTAGCTTCGGAAACCTTGCTATGGTTGAATGATGTCAAAACTTGGCCCCTTTCTCAGGCGAAGACGGCCAGAACGTCGCACCGGCAGGTACGCCTCCCTCCCTGTTTCCACGAGGCTCCTCAAGGGCTGCATCACTCTACTGTCCTTGCTATGTTGGGTGGTGAAAAGCGATGGCGTTTTAGATAAACTGCGTGTGTTTTCACCGATATCAATGATCGACCGCCAGTATTGTGCAGACGATCGACTTGTCGACGGGAACCGACGATGGCGCTGGCGGCGGCGTGGCGGAGAAGGGGGGCGAGAGGGGAGGTCCGACAGAGAGGGGGGATAATGAGCACGAGGACGCCAAGTTTGAGATTCGAGAGGTAAGGCCCACAGCGGCTTCAAAGGGATGCAGATCGAAGGAGGTGCGGGTTTGTCTACCTCGGTTCGCAAAGAGGTTACGGTTGAAAATATATGGTAGGGAGTTAGCAGCGGGGGGTGGGGGTCGGAGGGGGGCTGGGTTTGGGGGGCCCTGCCTTAGAACGGTGGTTGACGCTTCTCGCGCAAAACTGTTACCACGAGGTGTGTTGGCAGCACACGAGAGCTTCAGCTGAAAACCCGCACCCTCTTGGAGTATATGTGTGATGTCCGACGCAACGAAAGGTACATGTACATATGTACATGTATATGTGTGATGTCCGACGCAACGAAAGGTACATGTACATATGTACATGTGTCTCATTGGTATGCACCGTACATCACTGGCTCCTGCTATTGACCACGCAGGTGGGCAGCGAATGACTCCTCGCCCGAGCTCGCTTTCCTCCCCGCCACGATATTCTCGTTGTGGTGCTCAACAGGCCCCCCTTGCCCGCGTCGATGATGGTGACGCGGCAGACGAGCTAGTCGCCCAGCGAGCGGNAGAGGGCGAAGGTGACGACACCGACGCGTGCAGAGGAGGAGAAGGGGGAGGAGGGGGAGGAGCAAGGAGAAGTGGTGTTCGGGAGGGAGGGGTTTCCCGGCTTCTGGATGAGGCGGTGGAGAAAGTCACCGAAGCGAGGGCGGGGGCGGACGACGACGGCGATGGGGAGTACGAGGAGGAAGA